TGTAACCAAACAAAATTGAAGACTATAAAGATTATGGTTTTTCTGAGCAATAACGATTTTATAGAGAGTAATTTACGTTTATTTCGTACTTTTTCAAGGAGTAGTGGATAAAATAGGGATGGATGACATGCTAAGAGAAAATGTATCACAGTAGTAGAAATTCAGGATTATTTTAAATATTGCCTTGTAGAATTAAGAACTTAAAACTTGTATGCAATTAAAATATGGATTATTAGTTAAGATTTTATGCTATTCTAATTAGTATAACATAAACAAAAAGTAGTTTAATAAAGTTTTGAATGAAAGACACTAAAACCTTGTGTCATGAGCAGTAAAGGATACCTGGGGTGATGGGGTTAAATGCTTATATCAGAGCAATACCTCTCTATGCACAGTCATTCACAATTTTCAACCTGGCAGCTGCCTTCTGCATTTTTTTATATTCTGGAATCCTTTTCCAGTCTGCCAGGTCTTTCTTTAGGAATGTTTTGCTTTCTTTTTCCCATTTAAATTTAAGACCTTGAATATGTTAAGAGTCCTCTTTGTTACATAAGGTTGCAAAGGAGCCTTGATATTAAAGTTTTTCCCTCTGATCAGTGAAGGTTCTCTTTCTTCTCTGGAGTATTGAGATTTCATGTCTAGTAGTTATTTGAACTCTTTCATCAAACAGAGCAAAGTCATCTGATAAATACCATAAGTTCCATTTGAAGCCTGACATTTCACATTAGCAACTGAACGATCTAGATATGTAGATAATTTTAACATCATGCTGAGGTCATTGAAGGGTGCAGCCATTGCTATGGGAGTTTTATTCCAACAGCGAGTGTAGACCAAGTTATGAAAGGGCATGCTTGTGTCAAGCCCTTGGTTTCTTGGTCAGTCAGTTTGAACTGTTATCGAAGGAGAAATATATTTTGATAGCACATGTGGGTTTAGCCATCCAATATGCATGATGATATGCACCGGGAGCTCTGAACATCACTTCAGAGGAAGACTTGTTTCATAGAAACACAAGTGAAAGATTAAAGAATTTTTTGTAATCTTCTCTGGGATATGATTTCATTTGTAACATACTATTCAAGTAAAGCATTGCTTCATCTGTTTCCTGTTTCACTGTACTGATAAAGAGAAGGTGAATATCTTCATCACCATCATCAGGCCTGAAATGAAATTTGTTAAGTGATGCCCATTGTGCTTGGAATCTCTTAAAACAGACAGATTTCTGGTCTACTCAATGGACCAGTAGTTCTGGCAAATACCATTGAAAGCATAATTTCAAACATCACACCACAAACAATCAATAACTGAAAAAGTGTGACATCATCTGACATGATGCTGAATTGTTGCCTCTTAAATCTAGAAACTGCATGATACATGAACCAATTATATTGAATTATAAAATATTGTACATAGTAATATAACAATCTTACGAGCTCATGCAACAGTATCATTGTTTGCCAACTGATAAACAAAGGGTAATTAAGAAAATTAACTGGAGAAGTAAACTTGTAGCAAATTTCTTCAAATTTGTGCTACCCTTAAACATTGATGTATTTAGTTCAAAATTCAGTCTGAGGTCTGTCTCCATATGAGGAATGAAAAAATGCATCAGGAGCTCTCATTTGTGCCTTTTCATTTTTTAATATATATGTATGGACCACCTTATTGTAGAGTTAAGAAACAGTTTGTAGAATCATGACTTGTTTAGTAGAGATAAGATGCATATTACTAATTACTATTACTGTTGAGAGAAGATAAATTATGTAGAGTTACCAAACAGGTTGCAGAATGATGGTTTATTTAGTGTAGAAATAAGCTATATATTGTTAATTATTGTTGAGAGAAGACAGTCTGTAGAGTTAAGAAACAGGATGTAGAATGATAGCTTCTTTAGTGCAGAGATAAGTCTGTATATAGATAATTATTGTTGATAGATGAGACAGTTTGTACAGTTAAGAAACAGGTTGCAGAATGGTGGTTTGTTTAGTATAGAGATAAGCTTTGTGATGGGAAATATTCTTAAAAAAATGAAATTATGCTAATGATTAAGAACTGCCTTTATGTTTGTAGATATTGAAAAATTATCACTTGTTTATTTATTCAGAAAGACAATCTAGTTAATGTTGAATGTAGTCCAGTGACAGAGACTTCATTAAAGTGTATTCTTGGTAATCCTTTCAACCTGAAAGAAGTAAGTCCTTTTGTATTTTAGTTTAATAATTTTCAGTAATAGCTCTTTAAGCTGAATTGTAGTTTGACAATAATGTATTTTATTAGAAATTAACAATTACTGTAAAATAAAAAATCTCACATTAAGTTTTGAATATATATAGATTGTTAACACTTTGTAAGAAAAAAAAGTGTAAATATGAGTTCTAAAAAGTCAGTATTACAGTCTAGAATAGGGTTATAATTTGGTAATTCTGGTAGCAACAAACTTTCATTGATTAAGCATTTAACACTATGAAAAATTTGACAAGTGTCTTGTATCGGACAAGGTTGTAAGATGGAAAAATAAGATTTTTGTAATGTTGATAATAGAAAGGTTCAACTCATATTACTGTGCTTTAAAGTGTATTTTTGTAAAAGACAAATCAGTCTTTTACAAATTAGTTTTCCTGTGGTCATTACTTGAAATATCAATTTGTCAAGTGAGACCTTTTATATTTGTGTTTTTATTATTTGTCCTTAAGCTCCAGATAAAAGATAGTATAGTACAAAGTTGTGGGGCTCAGTATCTTAAAGCAAGGAAAGAATATGGATGAAGCTTCTTGTGTTTTTTCACCCATAAATTGGTAAAGAATTGTGCAGTAAACTGTGCAGTTAGATTTTTGGTGTTGTAAATGAATAAATTATTTATTTTTTTAACTGCTGTTATAGAATAGTGCAGTATACAAGAAGTTAAACTTAAATGCCTAAGCTCCTGAAGCGAGGTTTATAATTTGATATTACATCACAATAATACTGATAAAACACCCATCTTTAGGGCAGTTATTCAAAATGTAACTGAATGGTAAATATAAAAACAATAAAACCTGAAAACTGTGGTAAAACAAATTTCTTATCGTGATGTAATCTCACACCTACAATAATACCAACTAATATATTCAAGATAAGTGTAAAAAAAAGATATGGAGGATCTTACAATACAGTGATATAAAACTGAATATATGTAGATACAACTAGATACCAATATTTTCAGCCATAACAGCTAATCCTTTTCAGAGGATTGTTTTTACTTTCCATACACATTAAATATTTAAGAATGAAAAAAAATTAGCTGTTTCTGGTATTTACCTTCTTTAGAAAATGAGTTTTGCATTATATTGACTAACATATAGTAACAAAAGAAAATTTCAAAGTTTTAGGAAATTGTTTTAGATTGGATTAAAATAAGTTATTGGGAAGAAGTATTACACGAGTGCATTACTTTGGTTTTCTCCTGGCCTTGATTTGTTTGCAGGTACTTACTTTAAAGTACTGCTTTCAAACTGGAGAGAATGTAAATCTTTTCTTGAAATTCATACTTGGTTGAGGAAATTTACCGTTAATGTGCATGATCATACATTTGCTGTATATACAAAGCTGTTCGTTTTAAGCACTGTACAATGACATAGTAAATATTTAATGTTTGATTCCTGAAAACCAATAAACTTTGATGTAATAGAAATAGATAAAATTTACTAAACTATACACCTGGAAAAAAGTTAAGCACCCCCAAATATTTTTCAGTATTGCTTATTGAAAATAAGGTTTAATTTTCATGATGTTGAGCAATGTTCATAATTTCAAACATAATTAAATGGATGTGAGCGTTCAGGTGTGACATTTAAATCAGGCGCGTTTTTTTCTTCACGTCCAATATGCACTATTTTCTCGTGCATCAAATCCGTATTTAAGTCCCGAAAGAATGGCAAGAAGACG